GGTTGGGGCTGGGGGGTTGTAATGTGTCCTTGCCCCCCACCTGCCAGCTGGGGGGGGAGGGAGGGGGAAGGGATGACCTCAGCCAGGGAGCAGCGACTGGAAAGGCAACCAGGTGTGCCAGCCCCATGGGGCCGTGGGCACAGAACCCAGGCATCCGGGCTCCCAGCCTTGGTGGCCTGTAACCCACGTGTGCCCCCTCCCCGCCCAGTGTTGGGGCAGAGAGCCCAGGTGTCCCGGCCCTCCCAAAGCTTGGCTCTGAGCATAGGAGACACCTGCCCCGTCCTCGGCCCGTCTGCCCGGTAGCCGGTTTAGAGCCAGGCTCCGGATTCCTGGGATCCGGCCCCCGCCACGTCCTGCCGGCCCAGCTGGGCCACGGCTCCCCTGCTTCCTGCGCTGAGTCACGCGTGGCATCCTGCGTGTTAACCCTTCGGGCCCCGCCTGACACGGGTTTCCTGGCTCTTCTCCGGCTGATTTCCCCCGAGCCCGTCCGCGTCCCCTTGGACTGGGCACCCCAAGGGGACGTGCCCAGAGTTCAAGCCCTGCTCCAGCCTCTCGACACCCCCTCCCCCAATCCAGGGGCCGGGAAACAGCCCAGGTGTCCGGAGGGAGCTTGAGCCCTGCTGCCATTAGCCACCCCCAGCCCCGAAGACCGAAGGCGTCCTCACTCGGTCCCTCAATGGGAACGGGCCCCAGGTGCCCTGGTCTGGCCTGGTGAGGACTTCGCTGGCCTCCCGGAGTCAGAGAGCGAACCCAGGTGTCCTGGCTGCCTCCCCCCAGCTCATGCTCCCCCCCTCCAACCTGTGCAGGGACCAGGGCCGGGGCCATGGAGGCAGACCCGCCGATGCTGGCCACGGTGGGAGTGGGTGACCTGGTGCTGCTGGACCCCCTGAGCGAGGAGTCGCTGCTCAGCAACCTCCGGGAGCGCTTCCTGCACAAGGAGATCTACGTACGGCTTGGGGGATGTGGAAGGGTGGTGGCACAGGCTGGGGGGGCACTGGGTGAGTGTCAGATTTGTGGGGGGAGAAGGGATCAGCTGCTCCCTCCCAGCTGCTTGGTGCCCAGGCCCTTGTGCCCTTCTCACCTGCACGTGCCCCCCACTCTCTGCCCCCCTGCACGCTTCTGTGCCCTCTCCCTGGGTCTCCCCCAAGTGCTGCCCTTGCACACAGCCTCCCTCACACCCTCATGCCCTTGCATGCCCCCAGATGCTGCCCACTCGTGTCCTTGTGTACCCTCCCCCAGCCCCCTGCGCTCTCTCCTTTGCACGCTTGTTCCTCTTTGCCTGAACCACTTCACACGCTCACAGCCCTTGTGCCTACCCAGACCTACATTGGCAATGTGGTGATCTCAGTGAACCCGTACTGCCTGCTGCCCATCTACTCGGCAGAGATGGTGGAGCAATACTGCAATGGCAATTTCTACGCCTTGAAGCCACACATGTGAGTGCCCCGGACTGGTGTGGGGAACCACTGAGCGAGGCCCCCACCCCTGCCAGGGAGGGACGTGTGATGCCCAGCATGGGGGTAGGGGTTGTCTCCGGGCCCCTGGGGCTAATACATCTGCCCCCCCAGCTACGCCATTGCTGAAGATGCCTATAGCTCTCTCCGGGACCGGGACAGGGACCAGTGCATCCTCATCACCGGCGAGAGCGGTGCTGGCAAGACTGGTGAGGAGGGGTACAGGGGGCAAGTGTCTCTGCTGCCCCTGGAGGCTCCTTGCTGCTACGGGGGGTCCCAGACAGGATGGGCGGGGGGGCTGTGGTATTGTCCCCCCAGCTCTGCCCTGTCTCCCCAGAGGCCAGCAAGCTGGTGATGTCCTACGTGGCAGCCGTGTGCAGCAAAGGCGCCGAGGTGACCAAGGTGAAGGAGCAGCTGCTGCAGTCCAACCCCGTGCTGGAGGGTACGTGCCCCCCATCCAGCCCCTGAGGCTCCAGCTGCCCTGGAGGAGGGAATTGGGGGGGTCTGGGGTGCCGGCCATGCCCCTAGTGTTCCCCTCTACTCTCTACAGCTTTCGGGAATGCCAAGACCATCCGGAACAACAACTCCTCCCGCTTTGTGAGTCAAAGAACAGGTTCCCCGGGGCAAGGGGGGCAAAGCCCCACAGGGAGCGAGAGTGACTGTCATCAGGGCGCGGGGTGGGGAGGGGTCCCTGTGGCACTAGGACACCCAGGGCTGTCCTAGGGGGCAGTGCCCAAGGTGGGGGGAGCCCCAATACATCCCTGGCTGCAGGCAGGGGTAGCACAGGGTGGTGAGGGAGTGGAGGGTTGCCCAGGGTCTGCCCAAGGGGGCGGGGGCAGGAAGCCGTGGAGACACCTGCAACGAAGCAGGATAACAGCAGGCGATGTCCCAGCTCAGCCCTGCATTGCTGGGACCCCCCGCCCCGGCCCTTGACCAGTCCTTTCTTCCAGGGCAAGTACATGGATGTGGAGTTCGACTTCAAGGGCATGCCCCTGGGAGGCCTCATAAGCAACTGTGAGTGCAACAGTCTTCCCTCCCTGCAAATGCGTTGCACACACAATGCACATGTGCTGCACATGGCTTTGCTGCCCTCCAGCCGGCGAGGTCCAGGTGGCTCCCCCCAGCGCTGAACTGGGTGCCAGGGCCGCAGCAGAGCCTGAGTTCAAGACTGGGGCTTCCCCATGATGCTCGGGTTGGTGCAGCTGGGCCTGGGGCAGGTGCAGCCCCTTGCACAGACGATGGGGCGATGGTACTGGTCCCCCATCCCACTGACCCGTGTCTCCCTGGCCCAACCCAGATCTTCTGGAGAAGTCCCGTGTCGTGCGGCACGTCAAGAACGAGAGGAACTTCCACATCTTCTACCAGCTTCTGGCCGGAGCGTCCGACCCGCTGCTGAGTATGGCCGCGCCGCAATGCACCACCTGTGGTCCTGGGCATGGCGGGGCTCATGGGGGCTGGGCAGGGCCCTGTAGGCGTTGGGGTAGAGTTGGACACTGTAGGCCCCATTGGCACAGGTTGGAGTTGGGTAGTACAGGCCCCATTGGCAGGGTGATGGAGGTTGGGCACCATAGACCCTGCTGGCGCAGGTTGGGGCTAGGTGGTATAATAGCGTGGTGATGGAGGTTGGGCAACATCGGTATGGTGATGGGTTCGGCAATGTAGGCCCTGTTAACACAGGTTGGGGTTGGGCGGTGCAGGACCTGTTGGCATGATGATGGGTTGGGTGGTGCAGACTCTATTGGTGCAGGTAGGGGTTGGGTGGTGTAGGCCCCATTGGCATGGCAAGGAGTTGGGTGGTGTAGGTCCTGTTAGCACAGGTTGGGGTTGGGCAGTGAAAATCCCACTGGCTTGGCAACAGGTTGGGTGGTGTAGGCTCCATTGGCATGGTGAGGGGTTGGGTGGTGTAGGCTCCATTGGCACTGCGTTGGGGCTTGGGATCTGGGGGGTCCACGTCACCACCGTGGCCCATCCCCTCTCTCAGAGCGGCTGAAGCTGCAGCGTGACTGCCGGCACCATGGCTACCTGGGTGACGAGGACCCACGCTTGCCGGGCATGGACGATGCCACCAACTTCCAGGCCGTGCAGGTACAGCCGCTGGCGCTGGGCCAGGGCATCCCAGGGGTGCTCCCTTCACCCCCGCCTGACCCCTGCCCCCTCCTCTCCGTGCAGGCTGCCATGCGAACCATTGGCTTCTCAGAGGCGGAGGTGACGCAGCTGCTGGAGGTGACAGCCGTGGTGCTCAAGCTGGGCGACCTGCAGCTCAGCAGCCAGTTCCAGGCCAGCGGCATGGAGGCCTGTGGCATCCAGGACATGCAAGGTTGGGCGGGAAGGCACCCCAGGATCGGGGCCCCTGTGTGCATACCACACCCAGGAGAAGCCCTATATGGAGCCAGGAGCTCGTGCCCCCCTACCTGACCCCCAAACCGGTCCCCTGCAGTGCTGCGGGACATCTGCGAGCTCATCGGGCTCCGGGAGAGCGTCCTGGAGCAGGCTCTGTGCTCCCGCACCGTGGAGGCCAAGCAGGAGAAGGTGGTGACGGCCCTCAGCATTGCCCAGGTGAGTCCCTTCCTGCCCCCGGCCCCCTCAGGCTGCAGGGCTTGGCCTCAGTCCCCTGCTGTGGGAACCTCCCGTGGGGTCCCCAGGGCCAGGCCAGGCTGCGCTGGAAGGGAAGAACGGAGGGGCTGCATGGCTGAGTCCCGACCGGGTGCGGGCCTGGGGCAGCTGCCCATAGGGTAACTCCCAGGTCTGCTCCCAGGGCTACTTCGGGCGGGACGCGCTGGCCAAGAACATCTACAGCCGCCTCTTTGACTGGCTGGTGACCCGCATCAACGAGAGCATCCAGGTGAGGGCGGCCGGGGATCGAGCCCCCCGTGGGGTCCCAGCTCAGCCCCGGTGGCCGCAGAGCCAAGCTGAGTGCCGTGGGGATCTGAGCACCACAGATCCCACCCCCCAGGCAGGACCCCTCTGGGTTTCACTGGCACTGGGCTGAATCCACGCCCCCCCCCACCTGAGCCCATCCCAGAGCCCCAGCAATGGTTCCCGATGCCCCGTCTGCTTCCTAGGTGACCACGGGCGAGCGGCGGAAGGTGATGGGTGTCCTGGATATTTACGGCTTTGAGATTGTCAAGGTATAGGGCTGGGGGTCGTGCAGGAGGGGCTGCTGGGAGCTGCCTCTGGGAGCAAGAGGAGACTGGGGTGTGGGGAGAGCCTGAGGCTGGGGATGGGCTGTGGGTCGGGAGTGACTGTGGGTCAGGAGTGAGGGCATTGAAAGGGCTGGATGGGCAGGGGGCTGCAGGGTGGGAGTGAGGGGCACTGGCAGGACGGGGTGGGCAGGGGGCTGCGGGTTGGGAGTGAGGGGCACCAGCAGGGCTGGGGGGGCAGAGAGGTGCAGGTCAGGAATGAGGGGCACTGGCAAAGCTGGGGGGCACAGAGGGCTGCAGGTTAGGAGTGAGGGGCACTGGCAGGGCTGCTGGGTTTCCCAGCCTCCCCTCCCTCCCCCCCAGGACAACAGCTTTGAGCAGTTCATCATCAATTACTGCAACGAGAAGCTGCAGCAGATCTTCATCCTCATGACCCTGAAGGAGGAGCAGGAGGAATACTTCCGGGAGGTGACCCCATCGCGCCGGCCTGGCCAGGGGGCTCTGCCAGGCCCTGCTGCTTGCTCTAGCTCCCTTTGGGCTGGAGGGGTGTCTGCCCCGGCCCCCTCCCCCCCAGCAGGCAGTTCCTGGGGCAATAACAGGAAGCTGGGAAGGATCCGGATGGACATCCTGCTCCTGGGATCCAGAGCTGGATGGGGCGGAGGCTGTAGCCAGCCTAGAGGCAGCTGGGGGCTTTGTGTGGGGGCTGCAGACCCCATCAGTGCTGCCTTTGCTAGTGAAGCCCCCGCCCAACGGTGCAAGCCGTGGCCCAGCCTCATGCCCTCTGGCTCCAGCTGGGTTTCCCAGGGAGGGGGCTGCATGGTTGTCTGCTCTGCCCTGCGTTGCCCCCCGGCAGGGTGTGGGGGTCACTGCTGCACTGCCACATGGCGCGTGGGGAGAGGAGCCGGGTGGACCCTGCACCTCCCTGAGCCCAGGGGCTGCCAGGGGACTCTTGAGGGCCTGAATCCCAGCCCCTGAACCCAGTGGTAGACCCCTGCCCACTACCACCCTCCCACACGTGTGTGTGCGCGCACACACACAGACGCGCACACACCGAGTCTGGAACACACATAGATACAGAGCCCAGGTGTCTGGGCCACACAGACACATGCACAAAACCCAGGTGTCTCACACTAGGGGCGGTGCGCAGGGGGTGCACGTGCACCCCCTGCGTGTGGTGGTGCACCCCCTGCAAAAAGGAGCCACCGACAGTGTCGACGGTGTCTGTGGGTGACCGCTGCTCGCCACCCCAGCAGCATCCACGGGTGGTCCATGATCGTCCGTGGCTGCCGCCAACACTGCTGGCGGCGTCTGCGGGTGGTCACCAACCCCTGGTTGGCGCTCGCCCCCCCCTCCAGCTTCCCACCGCCAACAGTGCCGGCAGCATCTGTGGGTGCTCCCTGCTCACTGCTGCTGCCAGCCCCCCCAGGAGCTGGGGGCATGGGCCGTTTGTGTCGCACACCCACACCCCTTCAAATGTCTGGGATTCACACCCAGAACCTAGGTGTCCAGGACACACAAATGCACACATGCACACTCACTCGTTGTCCACCCCCCTGCGCTGGGCTGGGCTGATGCAACCATCCCCTCCAGGGCATCGCATGGACCCCAGTGACCTTCTTTGACAACGGCATCATCTGTGACCTGATCGAGAGTGTGAGTGCTTCCGCAGACAGCACTGGCGTGGGGCCACCCTAGGGCCCTGGCGGGGCTGTGGGGGCAGCTCTGGGCTGGGCTGGACTGCTGCGGGGGGCCATGGTGCAGGTCTGGGGAGCTGTCATGGGAGCCCTGGGCTGGCTGGCAGGGGGTGAGGGGCCATGAGGATGCCCCGGCTGGGTCTCCCCAGGCTGCAACAGTGCTGGCTCCACAGGGCAAGGGCGGGATCCTGGCGCTGCTGGATGAGGAGTGCTTGCGCCCGGGCACCGTGAGCCCTGCCACCTTCCTGGCCAAGCTGGACCAGGCCTTCGGCAACCACAAGCACTACGAGAGCCGGAAGAGCCAGAGTGACCGGCGCATCACCGACACCAGCCTGCCCAGCACCTGCTTCCGCGTGCACCACTACGCTGGCAAGGTGCATCTGGGCTGGGGACAGGGAGCAGTTCAGGGGTCCAGGCAACACAGAGCAGCCGGGTGTGGATACTAGGCGCCCAGCCTGCATCCCTTACCAGGGCTTGGGACCCCTACCCGTCCCATCCTGCTGGGTCCTGGAGGGAGCCAGGACTCCTGGGTTCTCTAGAGCAGGGTAGGTCAGGACTCCTGGGTTCCTCTCCCCATGCTGGGAGGGGAGCTGGGGGAGTTTGAGCAGTGTCTGGCCTTGGCACTCGTGGGTTTGATTCCCGGCGGGTCCCGGAGCAGCCCCAGGGAGCGGGCCCTGCCCTGCACTGTGACAGCAAGTTGCCTGCTCCCGGTAGGTGACCTACAATGCCACGGGCTTCATTGAGAAGAACATGGACCAGCTGTACCGGGGGCTGGCACAGGCCATGTGGCAGGCCAAGCACACTTTGCTGTGCAGCCTCTTCCCTGACGGCGACCCCAAGAAGGCATCACTTAAGATGCCCCCCACAGCCGGCTTCCAGTTCAAGGCCTCCATCAGCATCCTCATGAAGAACCTGTACTCCAAGAACCCCAACTACATCAGGTAGCCCACCGGCCCAGGGGCCTAGTACCTCCCTGGGAGGAGACTCCCCTGGACCTTTGCAGTACAGGGCCTCAGACACAGTGAAATGGGGAGCAACTGTCCCCTGGACCTTCGCAGTACAGGGGCTCAGATACTCAGTAGAGTGAGAGGAGACTCCATTGGCTGTTAGCAGTATGGGGGCTCAGACATGCAGTAGAGTGAGGAGAGTCTCTCCCTTGTTTCTTAGCAGTATGGGGGCTCAGACATGCAGTAGAGTGAGGAGAGTCTCTCCCTTGTTTCTTAGCAGTATGGGGGCTCAGACACACAGTGGAGTCAGAGAAGACGCCCCCAGCCTTTAGCAGTACAGGGGCTCTGACACAGTGGAATGAAGGGAGACCCCCTCCTTGGTCATTCACAGCATGGGTGTTCTGGCACAGTGGAGATATAGGAGACTCCCCTTGGCCCTTTGCAGCATGAGGACTCTGGCACGCACTAGGATGATAAGAGACTCCCCCTGGCTTGTAGCAGTATGGAGGCTCTGACCTCCGCTCCCCCTCCCAGGTGCATCAAGCCCAATGAGAGCCAGGCGCCGGGGCGGTTCACGGATGAGCTGGTGCGCAACCAGGTGCGGTACCTGGGGCTGCTGGAGAACGTGCGGGTGCGGCGGGGGGGTGCTCAGCACCCACACCTGGCCCCGCTGGGCCGGCACTGCCAGGTACGGGGCATGGGGGGGCCAGGGCACTGGGGACCTGGAGCTCTCAGGGGGTCACCCTGCCCCCACTGGGCTCCTCCAGGCTTGGGGTCCCTGGAAGAGCTCCGTGGGGGGCAGGACTTGAACCTGCTGCCTGGCCGCAGGGACGGGGTCCAGGCACTGTTCTCTGACCTGGACATCCTGCCTGAGGAGCTGGCCTATGGGCACACCAAGGTCTTCATCCGCACGCCACGCACCGTGAGTCCTGGCAGCTCAGGCTGGGGGCAGTGGGGAGCAGTGGGCTCTGGCACTGAGAAAGGGGGGGCGTTGTGCCCCCCCAATTCCTGACCCCCCACCTTTGCGCCCCCCAGCTATTCGACCTGGAGGAGCGGCGCCGGCGCCGGGTGGAGGAGCTGGCCACGCTGATCCAAAAGACCTACCGGGGCTGGCGGTGCCGTACCCAGTACCAGCTCATGCGCAAGAGCCAGATCCTCATCTCAGCCTGGTTCCGGGGCCACATGGTGAGCACCCCCCACCCCCACTCCTGTCTGTGCCCAGGGCTGGTGGCCGGCCCACGTGGGGCTGGTGCGGTTCCTAGCACCGCTCAGGTGGTCCTTGCCACGGGGCCCTTGCATTTGCCCCGTGCCTGTCTCATTGGCAGTGTTTGCAGGGGATCCCCCCCCCCTAGCCTCCCGGGGGTCTCCCTGTCCTCACCACGCTCCACCCTGCAGCAAAAGAAGAGGTACCAGCACATGAAGAGGGCGGTACTGCTCATCCAGGCCTGTGCCCGTGGCTGGAAGGTAAGGAGGGCGCCAGGCCAGCTTGTTCCCACACCAGCATTGGGGTGGAGCCCTGTCCCCTGCCCCAGGCCAGTGTAGCACGTGCGTGTGCAAGAGGGGACCCTCGTGAATGCTCACGTGTACCCAAGCAGGCCCAGCTCGGGGCTCCATCATCTGCCCCTTGGGGGTGGAGACCTGGCTGGGCTGTTCCCCAAGTTGGACTCGAGCGCAGGTGCCTAAACCCCCTGGGTGCCTCCAGCTCTCAGCCTCTCCAGAGGACGTGCATGGGCCGGGGGAGACAGAGGGGGTGGGAGCTGGGCTCTGGCGTCTCAGGCTGTTGCTTTTGCTGTCCCCCTGCGCTGGTGTCTACTCCCCAGGGCTCTGCGGGACCTCACCTTTCCCCGTCCCCCCGCAGTCCCGCCGGCTCTTGCGGGAGCTGAAGCACCAGAAGCGTTGCCGCCAGGCCGCGGCCATCATTTCTGCTTACTGGAAAGGGTACAAGGTACAAGGCTGGGCTCCCCTCACTGCCCTGTGGCTTCACCTGGGCCTTCAATGCCTGCCTCTGTCCTGCTTTCTCCTGCTTCTGCTCCCCCAGCCCTGCCCTGCCTGTCTGCTCCCTCTCCTACGTCGCAGCCAGCACTGAGCGCTTGGAGGGATGCTTGTGGGGCCGTGGGGGGATCTGTGCCTGCATGGGCTGGGGCAGGTGCCCGTGGAAGGAGCCATAACTCCTACCCTGACTTTACTGGAGGGGCTGTTTAGCAGGGAAAAGTACTTGGATCCAGCTGGGGAGAGGGGGAAGCCCCCCTTGTCCCCAGAGGGACAGCCGTGGCCCTGGCCCATGGCTCACGCAGCATCTCCGTTGACAGACGCGGAAGGAGTACACAAAATACTTCCGCTCTGGGGCCATGGCCCGTCTGGCCAACTTCATCTACCGGCGGCTGGTGAGCTCCTTCTTCCCTGGCTTTTGGAGCGGTTCTGGGGGTTGGCGGTGCTCGAAGGGGGCTTGAAACCCACGGAGTGGGTGAGGAGATCCAGTCTGCCGTTGGCACGTGGGATGGGGCATTTCCACGCTGGGCCCGGTCAGGGCTAGTTTGGTGCAGGGTGGGGGCTCTGCCTTTCTTGCCCCCTCTTCTGTACAGTCCGTTCTCCCTCTCCCCAAAGCTGCAAAAGTTTTTGCTGGGGCTGAAGAACAACCTGCCCCCGCTGACTGTGAGCGACCGGAGCTGGCCACCAGCCCCCTACCGCTTCCTGGCCAATGCCAATGAGGAGCTGAAGACCATCTTCTACCACTGGAAGGTAGCGCGGGGTGCCATGCTGCTTCCCCACATTGCCCCACCCTAGAGGTGGCTGCATCTCAGCCCGGTGGAACAACCCTGGAGAGCGTGGCTGCTTATGGGGGGGGTCCCCAGCTGTCCCATCCCTCCCCAGAGGTGGCTGCAGCCAAGAATCTGCAGCTGCCCACCAGCCCCTTGCCACCCTGTCCTGGCACTGACCCTGCTCTCCCTGGCAGTGTAAGAAGTACCGGGACCAGCTGAGCCTGGAGAAGCGGGCAGCGCTGCAGACCAAGCTGTGTGCCAGCGAGCTCTTCAAGGGCAAGAAGACGCGGTACGGCCCCAGGTGAGTGCGGGCACAGGGCTTGGGGGCATCAGGCTCCCACGGGGGGGTGGCACGGAGTAGCTGGCCGGCTCACGGTTTCTCCCCCACTCCGGCTCAGTGTCCCGGAGCCGTTCGAGGGTGACTACGTGGGGCTGCAGAAGAACCCCAAGTACCAGAAGCTGCAAGCTGCGGCCCGGGGCAAGCTGGTGCTGGCTGACACTGTGAGGAAAGTGAACCAGGCCAACGGCAAGGTGAGGTGTGGGGAAGCTGGGTGAGGGTTGGGGTCCCGCGGGGGCTGTGGGGTGGCTCAACCTGCTCTGCCCCCTCACCAGATGACACCCCAGCTCCTGCTGCTCACCAAGGAGCACGTGATCCTCGCGGACCCTAAGGCCACCCAGCCCAAGGTTGTCATCAGCCTGAGCGACATCCAAGCCACCTCCGTCACCCGCTTCTCCGACGGGCTGCTCGTGCTACACCTCAAGGAGGTACCGGGAGCAGCGGGATGCTCCATCCTTCCAGCACAGCATACGGGGAACATGGGGGCTTCCCCGCCCCCCACCCCCCAGCCTGGGGTTGTGGGGTATCCCTGGGCTCTGGGGCATTCCCAGCATAGGGCTTGAGGGGTTTCCCTCCCGTGTCAATGCCCCTGCATGCCCCAGGGGAGCGGGTACACAACTCCCCTTGTGCCCTTGCACCCTGCCATGCCTGTGACCCCCCCCACCTGGGTGCCAGCACTGAGCGCTTGGAGGCCACGCAGGCTCCATACACCCGTCCCGGAGCTCCCTGGGGTGCTGGCGGTGCCTGCCCAGGGTGCTGATGGGACCCGGTGCCTTCTCCCCCAGCAGACGGGCATGGGGGGGACCAAGGGCGATGTCCTGCTGGTCAGCGACCACGTCATCGAGGTCGTCACCCGTCTGCACCAGGCCCTGCTGGAGACCACGCGGCAGGCGCTCAACCTCCAGATTGCCGACCAGTAAGGCAGGGCGGGGATTGGCCGGTGGGATGGGCATCGTGCCAGGGGAGCATGCTGATTGGCTCACACTCCAGGAGAGCGCTTTCTAGTGGCTGGTTCGGGGAGCGAGGATAATAGCCTACTACACCTGGCGTCGCGGGCACCGTGGCCTGAGCACCACCATCCATCCCCACAGGTTCTCCACGCAGTTCAAGAAGAGCAGCATTGCAGTGACGGTGGTGCAGGGGCCGAAGGGGCGCCTGGGGCCTGTCTGCAAAAAGAAGGGCAAGAAGATGGAGGTGCTGGTCTGCTGAGGGGCTGTGGCCGTGGGCATGGAGAACCCAGCCATTGCTTGAACCTGGTCCCTGGTATTGTGGTGATTTAACATTAAAGCCTGGAGAGCCCCCAAAGGCCTCAGCTGTGCCCGTGTGTTGTGTTCATGCTAGCGGCACTGTCCTGGGAAGCTTGCAACCTGCTCAGACCAGGCTCTGTGGGAGCTCGACCCTGTCCAGGCCCGTCACAGCCCTGGCACCCATGAGCTCGGCTCTAGAGGCAAGCAGGAGAGGGAGGGTAAACTGAGTCACAGAGTGGGGGGCAGGGTGGATGGGACCCAGGCGTCCTGAGGGGCTGGATCCGGGTGGCTCTCCGGGAGCCTGGTGCAGACAGGGGCAAACGGGACAGGCACGCAAGACCCTGGCACGCGCATGCAGTGGCATGTGCCCCCATGCGCCGGGACCCGGCCAAGCCCCGTGCCCGTGCAAATGCCAGGCTCGTTATCCTTGGCAATTAACGGCCTGCAGCTGGAGCCCTGGCATGCACCCACCACGGCCAGCCAATGGGAAGCTGGCGCTGCGGCCAGGCCAGCCGGGGCCTGGGAGCGGGGGGCAGCTTCTTTCCCTCCCCTGGGTGCAGAAGCTGGCGTTGCTTTGCGTAGCGGGGCAGGGCAGGGCAGGGCAGGGCTCCTTTAGGAGCATGGCCCCATGGCTGGCATTACCCAGAAGCCTTTTGGGCACCTTCACGTGGCTGCTGGGGAGCCGTGGCGGAGGGGGGGGTCGGTCACGCCAGCAGGCACCGTGCAGGCCGGGAGTGGTGCTAATTGGCCTCACCACATCCTACTGGGGGGGGGCATGTGGTTCTTTGTGCAGGGAAATGTCAACAAGTTGGTGGGGGTGCGGGGAGGGGGGTCAGGCCGACCCTGTTCCAATGAATGAGGCTGGAGCTGCTAACGAGCAGCTGCTAACGCGCCCCAGAAACACCCGGCGTAGGGGCCTTTATGTAATGGCTGGGGGGGGGGGGGGGGGGGCGGGCG